AGTCCCATCTTCCATCTGCTGTACAAGAGGGCTCTGACCTCCGGGGTAACAACCTTGCCTGCCCACAAATGATCGGCCCTTTTTCATGTTACCTGGAGCCTAAGGAAGCCTGGCAGGATGCTGAGGGTCTTTCAAGCTAAAAAACTTTGAGAGAGCCAATGCAAAACTGTTGTCTTTGGTGTCTGTAGCACAGGCCACTTGATTCTTTCCCCCAGCTCAGCCCGAAGGTGGGGGAGATGCCCCCTTTGACAGCTCCCAAGAGGGAGATGGCCCACTGGGTGCCCTGTCCCCCAAGGACACGGCTCTCCTTTGGCTTTGCTGAGCGCCTTCCCGGAGCAGGACTGGGGTAAAGCAGCCCAGAGTACACACAGAAAGATTTAGCACAGTTTTGAGGGGAAAGCAAAGTTAACATTTCAGGCAGAGCTGCAGCATGAGTCACTGAAACCATCCTTTGTGTAGAGGCACCTCACCCACTCTCAGCCTGGCAACCACCCGGGCACGTGTTCGGGAGAGCTCCCAGGTAACAACCAGCTCCTCAAGCCACAACACTGGGTAGGGAGGTCATTGCTTCAGCCCATCAAGGTGCCCAAGAGATCACACTTGCAGAAATCCCCTGAAGGCTGGTTTGAATTTCAAGCCCGCTTTGTGCTTGCGGTGACTGAGGGCTCAGGAGAGGACCAGTAAGAAACCAGTGAAATGTTACTTAGCCCAGTTCCGGGGAAGAGCAAGCACCTTCTCCAGCTACATCCCATTTGCAGAGGTCTAATAGAGGCTGTGGGCTATTTGGAAAAACAAAGACAGACCCTGAGGCAGAACTGTCCTCCACAGGACAGGCTGTTTTCCCTGCTAAGCCAGGAAGTCTGTTTTTAGAGAATTTACTTTTAGTAACTCTTAAAAGACACCAAACCACAGCAGGCTAATTTGAGTTGCACCTCAGCCTCTGCCCTGCTGCAGGAAAACGAACACAAGTGCGAATTTATGCTGCTTCTCTGACAGGGGAAGGTTATTTACTGAAAAGTGCCATTGCTATATATGGCCCCCTAAAAAGATTAGTCAACAAAATCCATAAATGACTCGAGCAATGGGATAACATCATGACTTCCCAGAGGCACCTACAGAACAAGGAGGCAGACCCCATGGAAGAGCTCCCCATGAGATGAGCAGTTACATCACAGGACTGAAGCACAACCCACGTGGCTTCAGTTGTCTTCTAGGGATGGAGGAGAAACAGACTGCATCACCGACAGCATTTCACACTGCATCAAGGCATAAACCTTCCCTCCCAGCTCCATATTCCAAAGGTGACCTCATCTGCCCCTCTACATTGCGTTAGCTCGCTAAATATGGTGCAGTTATTTCTCTGGTGTATTAGATAATCCCTCCTGTGAGCCTAGAATAAAGTCAAGTGTTCTGAGATGCACCAGTACGATTTGCCAAGAAATTGTCTGCACATTTTTTCACTCCTTCAGTAGCTTCAGCTTCTTCCAGGCTGCAGGTGGCAAAGTTACTGTACTGGTGTGCCTTTTCTTATTTTTAGAGAAAAGGGGACAGAGATTTTGTATAATGTCCTCCACTGAGCACTTCTGTGTCAGTGCAGCACAGCCTTCCATAACGAGCCTGTCTCGCTTGCCTGAGAAGATGGCAAACTGGATGTCCAGGCTTCACTAGTTAATTTTGCAGAGTTTTGATGAGGAGATCAAGTCAAAACCATCATCTCCTATAAGCAATTCCTACCTCCAGCTGGACCTGCCTCACACTGCTGTCGTGCTGCTTTTCAACACGGTTTTAGCCGCTGTCCTCTCCTCTGGGGCTGTGGGATGAAGTCCCAGCTCCGCTCTCACAGCCCAGCCTTCCCCTCTGCTGCTGTTTTCAGCCTTCTCCAGGTTTTTCCCGGTTCCATTGTTGCCCCCAATTTAACCATCTTTCTCCAGTCCTGCTGGGAAAGTGGGAATTTGCGACTTGGACACGGACTAAATTCAAGGCAAACATCAATGAGCCTCAATAGAACTGAGCTCAGACGTGGGTAGGTGTGAACATACCTGCAACACTCCCCTTCAAACCCCGCTATGAAAGACCAGTGAGGAGAAAAAAACCAAGAAAAAAAATATGCTGATGGATATCTCGATGATAGCTCATCGAGAGGAAAGGCAGGCATCAGGTAAACAAGGATAATCCAGTGTGATACCGGCGGGTGGGAGGAGAGGCAGAAACGAGAAAGTGCTGCTGGAGGTGCGAGTGAGAGTCCCAAAGTGCTGTATTTAATCATCCCCTGACATTTTCCATAAGAAAGAACAAATGTTTGTGTGCTGCGGCAAGGAGTGCTGGCAGTGAAATTGTGTTACTTATCCATTATGCAAAAAAATGGCATTATGAGCATAGTGGATGTGTCAGAACATTAATCATTAGTGAAACAGATCAAAAGCATACGTTGCTATCCAGGAAAAAAAAAAAAAAGATATAAAATGTGATGAGTATTTTGTATAAACACGGTAATAACAAAAAGAAATAAAGGGTATGAGACCTGTTTGAGTCAATCATGGGAGAAGGAAAAGAAAGCTGGCAAGGGTTCTCCAGAGGTTTGTCAGGAATCTAAGGACTTGAAGGTTTTCCATCCTTACCGCAGACTTTAATTTCCTAGAAAGAGATTGGGCCTTATCAGTGAGAGCCTGTCCTGCAGGCACCTTGGATGTGTGAAATGATTAATGCCTTCATTAAGTACTCACTGAACCAACAAGCAATCAGCCTACTCTCTAATTAGTGGAGGTGTCACAGAAGACCTGGCCATGGAAAGCAACCTTGATTGGATCAAGCAAGATACTTCACCATAATTCAAACGGACACAGAAAAGAAGACAGTGGTGAAGATTCTTAATTACAAACGGGAAATCTTTATTTTAGAAATTAAACAGTCAAGTGAAGGAGACTGAAATGGCAGTGGATGGGATGAAGGCAGCTGGGAGCGAATGTCTGTCGCAGTGCAGGAGCTGGCACAGGAACCTGGATTGGAACTTGGAAAAGAGAGTTTAGGAGGGGTTTGGGGCTGGGCCGGGGGGTGTCCATCTACAGACACGGGGTGCTGGGGGTGACCACACACCTACAAATAGGGGAAAGATGAATCGGAAGAGAACATCTGGGGAGCAGAGCTGGAATTGCTAAACATCATGCTGAGTTAGAGACCTGGACCCAAAGCAAGGCTCTGCAGCATGTAACTCAGAAAACACAAGGAGAAACGAGGTGGGAAGAGAAATAAGTTTTAGGGAGAGCTCTACGTAAGGGCTGTATCAAAACATCCCAGAAGGCCAGGATGGCAACCTGGCAATAAGGGAGGAAGAGTCTGAAGCAAAATGCCAAGAGTTTAATGGAACAAAGCTGAAGAAGGACAGAAGAATCTTCATTTGAGATGAGGACCAGCAGGTGAATGCGTAGGGCAGGTAGCAAGGCCTGTTAACACACCCGTCAGCTCAGGGAGCGACACACACAACACATCTCTGTTTGAGGAGGACAGAGAGGATGGCAAGCAAAGGGCAGTGAGCTAAGCAACCACAAGTCCCCTTCCATGGGTCTGTTGATCCGTAGGGCACCAGGCTGTGGAACTAATCTGGAGGGGGAAATAGCTGGATATATCAGATAAAGCACCGGGGAGGCCGACCAAAGGGGACTGTGCCAAAGTCATCTTGACATCTTTGGTAACACCCAACTCTCTAGACAGGGGAGGGGTAGCAGAGACCTCAGGTAAACTTCAGCAATGTTGTAATATCATGCAGGAAGCCACAGTTGTAAAGGAACCGCGAAGCACATAAGGAATTAGGAAGAGGGGAGACCACTATTTCTGTGAGAAGAGACATGAGGGCAAGGAGAAAACTCCTGCAGCTCCTCCAGGTGGTACCCAGAGAGCAACCATAATGCTTTTGCTGACAGTCTTGGTATAAAACCCAAGAATCTGCTGATTTGCACAGCTGGGAGTCTGCAGTCGTGCTGAGGGGCAGGGAAGGGTAGGTGTTGCGTGGCCACACAGAACTCCTCTCCCACCGACCCGGGGGGTGCTGGGGACACAGCTGGGCATCTCCCGAGAGACCCGCACGTATCTGCTGATGGCTTTCTCAGTGCACAAGAAAGGTCCTATCCTCCCTTCCTCCAGCTCTGACCACGAGCTTGGAGATGACTCACGGAGAGGCTTCCTCTGTGTCAGGGCTGGACCAGGTTGGCCCTTCTCACATGCCCGGCTGTGCCTGCGGCAGCGCAGCCCCAGGCGGCCCCGCGGCCGGCGCCGTCCTGCGTTACTGCATGACATAATGCAGGGTGTCACCGCTGCAGCCCTGTCTCACAGACTCACTCGCCACAGCACCACGTACCCAGGAACACGCAGCAAAACACAGCTCCCGGGGGGAGGGGGGAAGGGGGGAACGCACGCCGTGTGTATTCGCAAGGTATGGTTAACGAAACAGCCCTCAGCATCTCGGGGCTGCTGGCAGCTGCTGCATCATGAGATACTGCCACAGCTGCAAAAAACAAGTACAGCTCTTTCTAAGGCTTTAGAAGGCTTTCTTCTTCCTTTAAACCACTCGCACAGAAACGCTTTCTAGACCTGCTTCTCCCTGCTAAGCTGTAAATATGAGAGCTACCTAATGAGATGCCATCTCCTGCCATAAGCTCCTCCGCACAGAGCCGAGCGGCGGCGGCTGCCTCCCCCGGGAGGGGTGCAAGGCCAGAACCGAGCCCCTACGGGATGGGCTGACCTGCTGAGTCAGCAACCTCTGAGCCCCAAGGCTTTTACAGGCTCCATAACATCACGGGCACGACCAGCACTGCAGGCCCTCCATCTACCCAGGGGCCGTTCCACCGGGTGACACCAGTGTCACTCCCACACCAGCATCACCCCCACACCAGCACATGCAGGGCCCGACTCCCCCCAGCATCCCCGGTACCTGCCGGGTCCCGCCAGGAAGCGATGCAGGGTGGGCCGTGGGGGGGGCTGCTCACCA